TTAAAAAAATGAAAAAAGAAAGAAAAAATGAAAAAAAATGAAAAAAGAAAGAAAAGAAAAAAGAAAGAAAGTAAAAGAAAGAAAGAAAAAACAAAAAAGAAAGAAAGAAAAAAAGAAAGAAAGAAACAGACAAAAGACTATTGACCTGATGAAGGAAGCTTAGCTCAAAAGAAAGCAGGCAACACATCGACCCAAATAGAAAGACAGAATAAAAAAGCCTAACCGAAAAAAAAGAAAAAAAGTTTAGCCGAACACAACAAACAATAGAAGAAATGGTAAGGGTGGGTAGAGATTAAGGAGATTTATAGTTTTATAGGATCACTGAGACATTCAGACGATTGACGGTTCCCGCGTTTTGGCAAAGCCGAAATTGTCTGTTGTGTTTCTCTTTGTCATATATGCATTTTCCATATGTGCACATTTCTCCCTTTGGGGTTTTTTTAGTTTCTCTGTTACAGCGTACACGCACACACGAAGCATGTCTCTTCCCCCTACAAACATTTCATTTAAATAAACGATCACAAATATTGTAATCCCCGACGTATGGAATTTCACAGACAATAGCTGAATCGGGTGGTCAGTGACCACAAAACTTTAAACTAAATATAACTCCAGTTCCCTGTACACTTGTGTACTCGTTGCCTGCACATGTGTTTGTGCTTTGTAGAATTTATTTATAGCTACACAATATGGTGGGTTTCTCGATAAATCCTAGACTGAGTGGCGCCGCCATGAGTAGACAGTTGATAAAAATGGACGAAACTGCCCGCAAAAAGAACTTGTGGTAAAACGACGGTTTTGACACCGCTGGAGTAATGGATAGCGGCTTGGATTGAGGAATCGGAGAGCCGAGTTCGAATTCCAGTCGAATCCATTAAATTCACTTACGTGCTAATACACTTGGGAAAGGTATGAAACCTCTTTTTTTTTTCCTTAGTTATTGGTAAATAGCAGGACAGACTGGGTTCTGTAGACTTGGACGGCGACAGGTCTACCGCATAAAGAAATGTCAACCTACTGCGGGAAAATAAAATCTGCCTTGTCATTCATGTATCGAAAGATACATGATCGCCTAAGCGTGTATCAGGCATGACACATAAATGGCTGACTTCCTTAGGTATTGCTTTAAAAATGATGATTGTAACTGGAATAAAACTTAGATATACAATGAAAGAGGATTTATACATTCTTTTGTTCTTGAGAATTTACAAGAATATTAAACACTATTTATTTATAAAAAAATATTTGCTGTTTGACCAATTGTTAATAATTAAAAAAAAAAAAAATTTGGAAACTTTCTTCAATTCCTTTTTATAAAGGAAGTAGAAAGAAAAATTAAAATAGAAATACAAAATACAATTCAGTTTTTTTGTTCACTTCTGCTGTAGCCAGGCATTAAACTCACAACTTTTTGGATCAAGTCACTGTATTCAATCAACATTTTTATCCTCTTGGCCATGTGAATATGGCAATGGTGACAACAGTCCGAACAATGTAAACAGTGTAAATAATAATATTTTAAATAATCATGCAATTGCTCAGTATTTTCAAAAGAAAAAAAATAAATAAAAAGATCCTAATGCACTTATGGGTGCGACAATTCAAAAAAAAAAGGTGAGAAAAATTAATGATCCACATCGAGGAGAAAAAAATACTTAAAATTACGGAATGGCACTTGAATTCCAACTGGTACCAAATATATTAATAGATCTTGAATAACAATCAAACTGTTGCCCTCACTTTTGTTGACATATTCCCAATATTTTGGCTGTTGTACGATCTGGCTTTTTTCCAGTTACTGGAATTTCAAATTGAACCCTTTATTTCATTCACCAGGTAGATTGTTCCAGTTCCACGTGCCATACCTCTTCCGTATATCTCAATACCAGTTAGCTCCCTTTAACTTAACGCTTCAAGTTTTTTGTTCACTTCTGCTGTAGTCAGGTATTATTAAACTCACAACTCTTTGGATCAAGTCACTGGATTCAATCAACGTTTTTATCCACTCGGCCATGTGAATATGGCAATGGTGACAACAGTCCGAACAATATAAACAGTGTAAATAATAATAATAATAATAATAATAATAATAATAATAATAAAGAATGCAATTGCTCAGTATTTTCAAAAGAAAAAAATAAATAAAAATATCCTAATGCAATTCGTAAAAAAAGATGGGGAAATGTTTCAAAAACAAATGATCGACATATCTGCTATATAAAGAAGGAATTAGTTATTTACAGTATTAAGTCATTTAGACTAATATTTCTTTCATTTTATTTCTTTTCCTCTTCGTCAAAATACACGGACCGTCAAAAACAAAATACTTACGGAATGTGCTATATTCCCGACGTTTTGGCTGTTGTACGCTCCGATCTTCTTCAGGTGAACCGAATTTCCAGCTAAAGCCTTTATTTCGTCCAGCTGGGTAAGTTGTCCCATTTCCACATGCCATGCCTCTTCCAGATATCTCAATACCAGTTATCTCCCTTTAACTCAACTCAACAAGTTTTTGTTCACCTCTGCTGTAGCCAGATATTGAACTCACAACTCTGTGGGTGAAGTAATTGAAATCAACCAACGATTTTATCCACTGAGCCATGTGAATATGGCAACGGATCCGAACAATGCAAATGGTGTAAATAAAAATGCAATTTTTTAGTATTTTCAAAAGAAAAAATAAATAAAACGACCATAATGCACTTATGGATGCTGGAATTCGAAATAAAAGGTTAAAAAATAAATGAAATACATCAAGGAGAAAAAATACCTAAGCTTACGGAATGGTACTTTAATTCCACCTGGCAGCAAACATATTAATTAATCTTGAATAACAATCATTGTAGATAATTCCAGTGTAAATATCTAACAAATCCATCATTATAATAATATACCGATCATCAAAAAATGTCCTCCATATCTGCTATATAAAGAAGAACGAATTAGTTATTTGAAGTATTAAGTCATTTTGACTATTTCTTTTGTCTTCTTTCTTTTCCTCTTCGTCTAAATACACGGACCGTCATTTTTTTGCCATCACTACGCATCAGGGACAAGAAATCAAGAATCAGTCACAAGAAAGATTCAAATTCTGAGATACCTGCCCCCAAGAAAAGGACATTTTTCCTATGACACAGCTTTTTTAACTACCTTTTATCCTCTGCAATGTTTATTGTTTTAAAAAGCGATGATTGAATTAAATAAAACCTAGACATATAATGAAAGGAAATCTATACTTTTTTTTGTTCTTGAGCATTTGCAAAAATATTAAACACTGTTTATTTATTAAAAAAATATATATATATTTTCAGCTTGGCCAATTGTTAATAATGTAAAAAAAAAAAAATTTGGAAACTTTCTTAAATTTATTTTTTTTTATAAATGAAGAATTAGAAAGAAAAATTGAAATAGAAATAAAAATATAATTGTTCAGTATTTCCAAAAGAAAAAATATATAAAAATATCCTAATGCACTTAGGAGGCTGTAATTCGAAAAAATAAAAAGGGGTTAGAAAAGTTTAGAAAAATAAATGATCCACATCAAGGAGAAAAAACAAAAAACAAAATACTTAAGCTTACGGAATGGTACTTGAATTCCACCTGGCAGCAAACATATTAATAAATCTTGAATAACAATCATTGTAGATGATTCCAGTGTAAATAGCATATCCATCATCTTAATAATATACCGCCCACCAAAATGATCTTCCATATCTGATATATAAAGAAGAACGAATTAGTTATTTGAAGTATTAAGTCATTTTTGATTAATATTTCTTTTCATTTTATTTCTTTTTTCTTCGTCAAAATACACAACCGTCATTTTCTTACCTTCATCATCAATGAAATCAAGAATAGACAAGAAAGATTCAATCTTTTGCAAACATGAATACGTAAAGCCAGCAAGAAAATTTTCATCTTTTCCTATGACAGTTTTTAATACCTTCAATAATCGCCATCGTTTATTGTTTTTAAAAAGCGATGTTTAAAATTGAATAAAACGTAAACATCTGAAAGTGAATTTATAATTGTCTTTGTTGTTGATATACATCAAGGAGAAAAAAATACTTAGTGTTAAGAATGGTATTTTTAATTCCACCTGGCAGCAACATATTAATAAATATTGAATAACAATCATTGTAGATGATTCCAATATATCCATCATCTTAATAATATACCGCCCAATGAAAAAATGTCTTCCATAATCTGATATATAAAGAAGAACGAATTAGTTATTTAAAAAAGTCATTTTGATTAACTTATTTTTCATTTTATTTTTTCATTAAAAAATACACAGACCGTCATTTTCTTACCTTCATTAAGCATCAAGGACAAGAAAAAAGAATAAATCACAAGAAAGATTCAAAGAAAACAAAATAACAAGCCAGCAAGAAATTCATCTTTTCCTATGACAGTTTTTTAAAACCTTCAATAATCGCTTTCGTTTATTTGTTGAAAAAAGCGATGTTTAAAATTGGAATAAACGTAAACATCTGAAAGTGAATTTATACATTGTCTTTGTTGTTGATATACATCAAGGAGAAAAAATACTTAAGCTTACAGAATGGTATTTACCAATCACCTGGCAGCAACATATTAATAAATATTGAATAACAACCATTGTAGATGATTCCAGTGGAAATAGCATATCCATCATCTTAATAATATACCAGCCCACCAAAAAATGTCTTCATATCTGATATATATATAAAGAAGAACGAATTAGTTATTTGAAGTATTAATTCATTTGAATTAATATTTTTTGTTTTATTTCTTTTCCTCTTCGTCAAAATACACAGAAAAAAAACTAAACCTTCATTAAATCAAGGACAAGAAATCAAGAATAAATCACAAGAAAGATTCAAACAAACATGGATACACAAGCCAGCAAGAAAAGCTCATCTTTTCCTATGACAGTTTTTTTAAGTACCTTCAATAATCGCCATCGTTTATTGTTTTTAAAAAGCGATGTTTAAAATTGGAATAAAACGTAAACATCTGAAAGTGAATTTATACATTGTCTTTGTTGTTGATATACATCAAGGAGAAAAAATACTTAAGCTTACAGAATGGTACTTTAATTCCACCTGGCAGCAACATATTAATAAATATTGAATAACAATCATTGTAGATGATTCCAGTGGAAATAGCATATCCATCATCTTAATAAATATACCGCCCATCAAAAAATATTTCATTAGTTTTAATTAGTCTACCA